TTTTTTTTGACACGAAAGATATTGAATACTCCTTAATTCTTTGATAACTCTCATCCATTACCATCCTCACAGTCCAGAGTCGGAATGCCTCGGTTCCATTTGGTGCACACCCGGGCCACTCTTGTTTGTCCCAACCGCACCCATAAATCTCAGGGAAGCTGGCAGACCGTTCATGCAATTGTGGGACTTCCGTGCAATAAGTGAAAGCAAAAGCCAGTTAATAAAAGCCCAGTTAATGGTTGATATATTTTAGCAACCTTTGCGTGCACAAAATGGTGGTATTGCAATCTTGCCAACAATGTGGACAACTATGGGTGAAAAGAAGCCTGCAGTCACATGGTAAAACGACGGCCAATGCTCACGCTCCTTCGACCCCCAAATCTGGTGTTAGCATTTCCCCACACGTAATCCGATTCGAGAAGACGGATTAAAGCGGAGCATCACTTACTATTTGCGTATTTTTTGAGCATCCCCTGAAGGCCCTGTTTATGAGGGCTTTCAGAGCTTGCTGAAGAGCTTTAGATGGCAAAGCGTGGACCTAGTCATAGGGTGGTATACGTACTGATTTTAGCTCTGCCTTGGCGAAAAAAGCCCATGCCCGCCCTAAATCAGGAGACGAGTTTCTTTCCGAATGACAAAGGTGGTCAATCCCCCCATTAGTTAATATTGCTTTGTGCAGTAATAACTGCTGCATACACGAAGCACGCTTTGGAAGGAAAATATAAGAGATCTTTGGCGCGCCTGGCCTGGCACCTGTGCAGCTTAGCCACATGAAAAGGTACGAAATTGGTGATGCCATGCTTGCATGAGTTCCTTGCTTGAAACTCGAATTCGCTTGCGCGCGTCATCAGCGTTACCTCACACCCTGCCAGCCAGCCTATAAACCTGTCTTGAACTACCCGATATCATGTCCGTAGTTTGAGCCCTCGATCCCACCTTTTTATGCATTTGTGTGCCTTTGGCATCCTGAGCATCATTTACATGCACACTAAAGAGTTGCTTTTATGATTCCGTGTACTTTCAGATCATCATAAAATCCACCACACCCTCCATTACAAATGTCATTTAAAACAAAGCGAGAATGATTTACTTCCAGCCACTTCAATACTTCCACGCAAAGCATATTCCCTCAATGCCCGCTGTCGCAAGACAGAAGTTCGAAATTAACGATCCCTCATTCTGAATTTGACGTATGTGGATTGAGTGAATGCCTCCTCTACAGTTATAATTTGCTAGTCTCGGTAAGACTTACAACGCATGAAGTGCACTTTCATGTCATAATTTCATCCTTAATAGTCCACTGCGGTGCTGGAGAGGTAGTCCTCCCCGGTCACCTGACAGCGTCACGGAGTTGCACACCTGTTGAGGCGCTCTCAACTATTTCATATCTTACGCAGGATCACATGCGATCTATTTTGGGTAGTTTTTTCTAATTCCAAAGTGACGATAAGCTATTTTGCCATACATCAGACGCTATAGCTTTTGGCTACACCAATTGGGCATGTTTCAATGCGACGAATGAGACAAAAATTTTGCCTGCAAGGCAAGCGAATGGAACTATTCGAGCCTTCAGAGACGCCATCATGCATCACTAATCCGGATCAAGGTGCCTGAAACCCTTATTCAACGCATTAGCGACCACAAGAATGGCTAAAAATATGTGGATAAAAAATGCAACGAATACAGTCTTAGTGTCACCAAGTTTAGCGCTACACCAAAAAACCAGACCTTATTCAGGACACTATGGATTCAGTTTTCTATACCCTCTATACCCCTGACTCAAGCTCCGATGTAAACCGAATGAGGCAGACTGACAAACGCCACGCTTGTTGTCCGAAGCAGTTCCGCAGCTTTGCATCCCTTCCAGACCTTATCTAGACAATGGAGAGACAGGTGAGTAATATGTAAACTCAACACCTCGACTATAAGCGAAGTGGAAAGTGTTAGGTTTCCTATCATCCCAACGCTCTTGACAACGTAAATTAAGGCTTTTTCAATCCCACATACCTGCCACTTTAAAAGGTTCGTATTGCCTAAACCACCCTTTTCACTTTTTCGGCAATAGCATTTCCAGTGCCGCATTCAATAGGACTCCTTTATTATGAAAACAAAGTAAATCCAAAAGGACAACTGTTGTTGCAACTTTAGAGACTATTCAAGTTAAAAATTTCACAATCACATCTACTAAGCGTTATAAGTCGTCTTCCTAGGATTAATTCACAAATTTACTTAAATATCACGTCATGACTTTAGGGAAATTTAAAAACTTTTATTAAGGCGAATTGGAAGAAACTAGAAGGTTGAATGATCACTTGATTCAAAACATATCTTGCTCTCTCAATGGTTCTGGTACTTCACAAATGACAGAAAAATGTTCTATAAACTCCCCCTCCCTCAAATGGTCGAACGAACTGTATCAGGTAAAGCAAGATATTTTTAGATGCGGCGGAATATTTCTCACATTAGCTCAAATCTTAACGTAACTAAAACTAGGAGGACAACAGTAATGGTAATTCAGTTCGCTATACCAACTGATTGACATCTTCCTCCTCAACACATTCTATCAAGTTCGAAGCCACAACAAAGCAGCGCCTTGGTAAACTGCACTGCCCTTTAATTTATGTTCCCCTTCCAATGTGTCTCATTACTCAAATACTTGACATTTGGACGCACAACTAGTGCCATTTACATTTCATAGGCGACACTGAGTCATTCCCTTTTTCGCTCAAAAAAAGTTGTGAAGATAACGAATGCACTCACGAAATGCCTATATTAGGTGGAAGCATCAGGAGACGTAAAAAACTAGGCCGGTTTCGAGGTTCTGTTATCACTGTTATCACTTGTACCGCCAACAATAGAGGAGAAGGAAACGAGACGAGCAGAGGTGGTGTCGGCGGCGCAGCGCAGAGGGGCAGGTCGAGCAGCGGCATGAACGGGCATCAAAGCGGTTGCATTAATTTTTACGGAGCCTACAAAAGAGGCCTCCATCTGGCCTGCCAGACTCATATAGTGTTGTTTTGAACCACCACCCGGAAAATGCACTCGCCCTCCGATGGCAAGCGCCTCTACGTATCTATGAGGTGGTGGATCGAGTTCTACGCATTCCACCCCATAAAACTCCGCCAGCTCAATTATGAAACGCCGTTTCGTATGGTTCATTGGGCTGAAGCGGTGACTTATACACTTGTTCAAATTTGGCTTAGATCCGGAAGATTTCATCAAGCTCAACGTCTACAGAACATAAAGGAAAATTATTATCATTTAATTTCGTGGACCTCATAGTATCGTACATTTGCACAACCAAACTATCATCCATAGAAGGACGAAGTGGGGTTTTCTGCAATCTTTAGAGCATCACTTACTCATCAATAAAAAACTATAATGTTGGGAGATAAATAACGTAGTAATAACGCGGACTGCAACAGATGGTAACGTCATGATAAACGTTATTACCCTCATTAACCACAAATAACGATGTAAATATATGCTCGAAACACTGACAAGCACTAAACTACTCGATTGCGTGACCAAAATTGGACCATTTGGAGTCTAAAAAGATTGCCTTCCCGAAGGAGAAAAAGGAGGAGTTTACTCGCTTACCATGGAGGAGTTCACCAGAAAAGAGGGAAGATGTATTGGACACAAAAGCGTTGTCACTTATAGTGCACACCCCTCTCGTTGGAAAAAGCGAGGAAACTACAGTGTGTAAGGCAAACACCTACCTCGAGAATTGAGATCAAGGTGAAATGGGGACGGGACTAAGCTACTAATGCATAAAAACTTCGATATGAGAGCTAAAAATCTAACGTGAAAAAACGGTTAGCGACAAACACATGAGATGAAGCTTTGTGGGACAGCAATGAAGTGTGCAAATTTGGACTACTGTGTCGCGCCCATTGTATCGAGTGCTATTGGACCAGGATTCGGAATGCCAAAAACAGATGACTGACTCATGCCATAGGTCAAATACAAAGCATCTAAGAAGCCCAGTCTCAAATCTATCGCTTTCAGTGAAGGTAGGCTGAATGTGTGTGGGAAAAAAGTCTGCAGGTCTAACCTCGTCGACCAAGTTGTATAGAACCTTTTCCACCTCTACAGCAAAGGAGAGGTTATTCGACGCAAACTGTTTAAGCCAATCGGAGTACTCGGGCGGGGCGAAAGCAGGCGGCAAGGAGGCATCGATCCCATGGGCGCCGCCACGCACCCACATCTTTGGCACGCTTGAGGCCGCCGCCTCGGCTTCCTCCTTTGCCTCCTTCGCCGCTCGCATCGCCTGAGTACAAGATGAGTCGCAGGGCAGTACATCTGTCGATGGCAGACCAAAGGGCAGACCCGTCGATGCTGAACATCGAAGGAGGAGGTTCGGATCCTTCTTGCTGAGGTTTGCCACTAGAGCCTTCACCTGAAAGTATTGAGACATGCAAGAATATTGTTTTACCAGTGTTATAGCAACATGAGTCACTAAGTATCTACTGTAGCGATACAGGAAGACGGGAAGTTAGAAGTGGGTGGTGATGATTATACTACGTAAAGGTGTGGAATAAAGCAATCTATAAACAGAAGAGACGGTAAAAAAGAGCTTCACTGTTGTATGCAAATCCTTACTCCATCCTAAAGGGCGGGGAAAAGTGCGCATACAACCGAGAATCAGAAAAGGGTACAAATTTGCCGCCATAGGCGGAAGAAGGGTTGTGCACTTTTGAACTCATGACTAAAGAGCAAACGATTTGTTTAATTGACATGTACTCAATAAGAGTTGATGAAAAGCAAAAAGTGGCTGGGTAGACTTAAAAACAAAGGTATATGCATTAAGAGCCTCGTATGCACGCAACAGTTCTTATCAATAAAGCTTAAGCCACACATGCTCGACCCAATTAAGCAAAGCGAAGTTTTGAAAAAGGGCACTAATTCTATAAAATGCAAAAAAGATTTTAATACACGGATGCAAACTGTAGCATGACTTAAATTGCGCTGAAGTGCTACTTTTGACGCTTTTTGTTTAAGCATAAAAGGCCAATTGAGAAATCAAATTTCATTAGAAGACGAAATCGCTATACATTACATGGATTCTAATAACTTATGACTACTATAAATATGGAATGGCCGTAGAGGCAGATCCACAAGCAGAGGCATGAACACAACAAGCACAGTTCTTTCGTAACTAAAATGGGAAAAAACCATGTCGGAGACAAAAAAACATTCATGTAGTGTAGAGCCGAACCCGATAGCAGGGCTGCTCCTCACGACGGTGGCCACAGACACAAGAGAGAGATACGAGCACGTGACACTTGAGCGAGCCAAGAGCCTCGGCGCAGGAAATTCCAGCGGCCTCGTGGCAGGGTTTGCCACACGGGTGGCCGCATTCAGGGCGCGGTGCAGAACAGGGTTGTTTGCATACCACTCTACCGTCATCATCCGGTAGCAGACAGTCGCCCGCATGACATTGGCGGAGACAGCGGTGCGAACAACCCAACAGAGGTTTATCGCAAAGACGTCCGCAGGTCACCACCGTCTGAAAGCATGGTACGTTAAACATCCACGTATGATCTACAAAACAACACGGCAAAAATTGACACTACACCTTCCGATAAAACCCAAAGAATTAGAGCTATTTCGAAGATTATCTACCAATTCCTTTTGACACAATCATAGACAGCTGAAGAGTGTGACATAAAGATTTCACCGGCACAAGTAGGAGGGAATAGTGGTTTATGTTGCAACTAAATTTAAGGACGTTTTGTAGTTTGAGTTTAGAAGGAAGCGAG